GAAAATAATATATTTAGTATGATAACCTAGTCGGAAATGATAGTAGGGATTATTTTAAGCTTGACGATACTGACGATTTAAGTAGTCGCGAAGGGACTTGTAAAGAAAATAACATAAATATCATGATAATCTAATTGGAGATGATACTAGCAATTAATAAGCGTGACGACATTGATGATTCAAGTAGTAGCGAAGGAAGTTGAAGAGAAAATAATATATATCTATGCATTGTATGAGTCACATAAACGCTTCTGTAAATTAGTGTCATGGTAAAATACAGTAGAATGGCTTTGTATTAGAAAATGAATACGAGTATGCTTAGTAATTGTGAATTAAAAGAATTTTGTAAATTAAATTCAAAATTGAAAACCATACCTAAATATAATAGAATGGAAAAAAACTAGAAATAGAATGAGCTTGGCAATAGATAACTTATGCTGCTGTAGAGTGTACAATAATTGCGAAAACAGCAGAATCTGGCATAAATAATCAATTTATTCAATTCTGGATAACCAATCAATAATTTGAGAACAAGAAATTATTTAATACGGGCAAATGTGAAATTATAACCCGTTAGGAATATCTGATTTTTTTAAATTATCTGCGTAGAAAATCAGTTATATGATATATTACTTGGATACCGGTACGCTAAACCAAGTAAAAACCTATTTCCGACGTGCATATTTTCAGTATCCGTTCGACTTTTCTGTTTTGTAGCGGATGCTTCATCAAATAATGCATCGAAATGACTTGATTTGTCAGATTTCAAGATATTTATATGACTGTTGACATGGTATAATAAAGGACAGGCAAAACTATTTCTAATCATAACAAACTTATTATTGATAATGTATAAGAAAAATTTCATGGAATAGAATATTACGTTAGTTATATTATTAACAATTAGTTATCAGAATAATACGACAGACCATAACACCATGCTAATATTAATTATTAATTATTTATAGGAACACTAGTAAAGACTTTAGTTAGTACTATAAATCCACCAAAACAATAATATAGAAGTTATATTTACAGCTTATAGATGATAAAATAAGGCATATAGCTGTAGATACAATATATAACAGTAACTTGTAAACTATAGAATGATATATTCAATAGAACATTTATTATTGACAGTAATATATTCTTTAAATAAGTAATGAGTGGTAAGATGATAATTTATCCATGTTTTATTAATTGTAAAGTATACGCTTCCTTATATTACTATGCCATTGCAGTTAAGGATGAAACATCGAAACAGCCTTAAAATAATTTATACGGCATACCGGCTAGGCTCCGGGAAGAGACAAAGAGAGAAAAAGTACGTTAGTAGGTAGATAATAATGAACTTTTAATCTATGAGCATACGTATACTTGACTAAAACTATTAAAGTTATTAATGGTAAATCAGCATCTATTTGAACACCCATCAATCTGTAAGAATAGGTTAAAGATTATAAAAGAAAGTGAAAATAGCTTAGCAAGAACGATATGATTAGATTACTAGCATGATATTGTTAAAATTAACTATAATAATCAATCGCATGATAACAATAAATAGCTTTTAAGTAATTCATTCTTATAACAGTCAACAATTAAATGGATATAGAAAACATAACCCGCTTACTTTTCTAAGTCTTACAATGCATATTATTAAGGGTTCAATATCACTGTTGAACTCTAATTAGAATTATGTATTGATATAGAGGATAAGCGGATATGTGCAAGAAAGGGAGGGAGAAACAAAGTGATAAAGATATATCACAAGCAGAATAAAATAAATTAAACAGAGTAATCTCTGGCGAAAGTAATAATCGTTGAAATTCGCATATTTAATATTATACCTCAATAGCGTAATAAAACTGAACGTTTTACTAAATTGAGTTGATTTTCATTTTTATGTCATTGCCACTTAGAATGTAAGGATGAGAAAGGAAAAACCATTGCGTTGTATTATTTTCATGACATCAACACCTTAATAAAGTTTCGGCAAATCTTCTCCATCACTCTTAGAGCTTAAAGAATATAGTCTTAATGGCTAAAGATGGCAATTGTGTACTCATAGTGCATTCCATAATTCCACTAATTAATAATGAGTCACTGTTAATAATTTTTACTTATAAGGAGATGATCTTGCATTATGAATATTATGATAACGTAAAGTCACTTTCTTTTTCCCATGCCTTTACGACAGTATTAATGTGTGAATTATTAGCAAATGATGACGGTAGTATCGAAACTCGATTTAAAGTAACAGTTATTCGACAACGGAGTAATTCTATAAATCCCTCACGATAATATTTGTTGGAGATTGCATAGATTAATGGATTTAGAGTTGAATTAAGTCCTGTCAATAATTTAGTAATACGACGAATTGTAATATTTTTAAACAATCTTGGATCGTGTATTGCCATGGTGTAATAAATTTCATTCGGTAACCAACAAATTAAGAAAACAACGGCAGCTATAAAACTCATGACTGTTACTTGTTTGCGAATAAGCGCATCACGTTGAGAACTGCGAATAATAGTATTTTTGGGGGGTTCAACTCGTACCTTTTTTCGATAGCTAGAATGAAGTATTCGACGTCCAATATCTAGATAAACAACCGCAATAAGGAGACTTGGTATAAATATACGAACGACTTGGAGCGCTGTTACAACGGCTGCTTTATCGGCGGGGTTTACCCATATAAAAAATACACATTTCGTACCATTAGGACCAGCAGTTCTATCTAGGAAATTATCCATGGCAAGCCCAATATTAGCGATCCATATTATTATGATAGTGATTAACGCTTTTCTCTTCGTACAAATTTCCTTATAAGAAAACGGCATAGCAATGGCAAACCATCGATCGACACAGATAGCTAATAATGTCCATACTGAGATAAAACCTAGCATAAAAAATAGTGCATTTGACCAAATCAAGCGACAAAATAATTCAAGGCCAACATGAGGGATTGGATAATCGGGTATTGGTATAACAAAACCCGGTACAACAATCAGTAATATACCGCTCAGCATATCAGTAGCAGCTAAATTCAGAAACAGATATTCAGTAGCTTTTGCAGTTGGTGATTTCTTCTTGTAAAGGATGATGCAAAACATTGAATTGGATACAACTGAGACGACAGCTATAAGTACATAAGCTGAAGAAATAATATATTGGCCAGCATTTGATACGTTATTTTCACTTTGAGTACCATTACCTAATTCAGTAGAGTTGTTGTACGAGTATAAACTCATTATTATCTGCTATGTCTTCAATTAAAACTAGGAAGATTTCAAAAATATCATGGAAGGCAATTTATCTGATGGATCAAATCAAACAGCCATTGCGCATTTGAAATGAGAAAAAATTATTCTGCCAATACTTATTATCCTATTTTTATCGATAAGCAATAAAGTTGCAAGCATGGAAATTACCTTTTCTTTGATAGTTTTATTTCTGATAACCTTAATTTTATTAACTTTTTACCTAGACAAAGATCAGTCGTCAATGAACTGTCTCTAGAAAAGCGATCCTACATAATCCTGCATAATCGATAAGAAATTAATATGGATGTAAGTTCAGATATCTAATTATATTTACGTGAATTATCATCTATTCACTTCTTTATTTCCCGATTGCCTAATCATATAAATATATTAATAAAATATTGTATTAATATGATCAATTAAATATCGACTACGTCAGATATAAATAAATTATACATGTTTCTGATATTAAAATATTAAAACTAAAAGTACAATTTTATACTGATCGCTCTTATATTGTTGCCGCTATATGATTATTATTAATAATATAATTAGTAAGCGTAAATATAATTTTTACTAATAATTTTCAACGAAAACCTTCATGATGTGTCATAAGGTAGACTATCGTTAGTTTTTTAAGTTACAAAGATATTTTTATTAACAAGTAGTTCGCTAAGAATTAAGAATTAATTGTGCCTTAATTTACCTATCTACAGTCGTAATAAATATTTAAAATAAAGTATTAGTAAATAGTAGCTGACATGATGATGAAATAACGCATCTAAACTATTTGTTCGTTCGTAGTAGCAATCGATCAATCGTAAACGTGTATGTCAATTAACCATCCATCATAAAAGTATTTTGTAGAAATATTATTTTTTCTGACATCCTTTTTCTTTTTAGCTTCCTCCCACTTACAGATTCATTGATATTTAAAAATAGTTTTAGATTTGTATTTAACATTAGTTATTTTATATATCTTCTTTGTGCATTTTTGAAAAAAAATTAAAGATTGAATAAACTGTGTATTGATAGGTTAAATTATCATAAACGTTAAAAGGATTTTTTAAAATGTATGTTGCATTATTATTCAATGGTAATATTAATATCTATAGTTCGAGCATATAATTTTGGGTTACTTAGTATATAAATAAAAGATAAGTCGAAATTGCTTAATACATAATTGAATATTTTATTATGATTCAAAGTAATATTATGATGCAAAAAATGTTTTATTGGATCAATTCAATTAAAAATTTTATAATAGTTGCAGAATATTTACTTTACGAGGATAATTGTCGTTTAATAAAACTATACTAAGCTAGAAATTTTATTAACCGTTTTGTTCCTGCTAATATAACAGCAACATTTGAAGTTGTTAAATCATACAAAGTGTATATTATTCGAAAGCTTAGAAATAACAGAAATCAACAATAATCTGTCCATCGCATCCATTACTATGGTGTATAAGAATTAGCTAATAAGTTGATAAACAACAGAGTTGAGAATAGATCGAAGCTAACTTTTCCATTAAAGTAAATCTACCAACTAGATACCAAGATATCAAGTAGTAAATGCATACAGCTAGAAAATATACGTATACCATTTAATGATCGAACTTTAAAATTTTACCAAAATTATGTATGTTAGCTTATCCTAAAATAGCTTCGTGAAAAGGATAACGTAAAACAAATCTCTAAATTACTTAAGTCTCCTGGATTCAGTATCCTTTAACTATCAGGCAAGAATTTAGACACCTTTACTTCTACGTTAAATGACTAGAGAATTCCTATTTTATTCAGCTATTTGCCGAGCTTAATTATTCTTCAGCAGCAGCTATCATAAATAAGTCATCGTAAGGCTATGAAGTTTAGTTCATATTGAATACCTAAATTAATGCAGAAAATATTCATAATCGTAGACATGTACAGAATGATTCTATATAATTAAGCTACAGTATGTCCATTCACAGAATTAATTATGGTATCATCTATATGTGAATATCTTCAGAATATTAATCTCAAGCGTTACAAGACATAGCACTTTCATTAATTTAGCATCAGATAATATATAAGGACCCTTACTACAGTACTGCATAATTTACTATAATAAAATAATAACAACCGTGATTCTTACTGTTATCACCATATGTAAATGTTAATTCACTAAATTTAGTTATTTAACTCTTTACGGTAGCTCACGGCTGCAAAAATTGAATTAAAACTTGTAATTTTAAATATTTCATTCTAAAGAGCAAATTGAATACCGTTTCAAATTTGAAGCTTTGTTTTTAAAAATTAGTAAAGTAGATACAGTATATGCAGAAGCGATATTATTAGGGTAAGTACTAACTTTATATTACTTTACGGTATTTAATTATTGCTCTACGATGGAATAAAATTTATCTGATAACTGCAGCATAATTATCATTAAGTAACTCTGCTTGCAATGAGCTGACACCTATCTATTTTTTATGCAAATTAATATGGATAATAGAATATTCTGTTACATTATTCAATTACAACAAATTAATTTTACAAAGCGAAAGTAAAGTTTAGCTCGTTCTTAAAAAGCTATGGGTCTTATAGTTGAAACAGAGAAATAATGAGCTTTGGCTTTCTAGGAATAGGAGATTGTGATTAATTACGAGTTAAACGACAGATAAGATGACGCGAAAAGAATAACTGCCTACAGTCGGAGCCTTTCATTTTTTCAATGCAAGCCTAACTCTTGCAGCGCGCTCTGTAACCGATATCAACTGTCGCCGCAATAGACCAAAAATGCTTGATTTAAGACCCATAACTTATATTTATTAGATTACGCTTCATTAAGTTGTTTGCCTAAAGATATAGCTTATTAGAATAAAAATCTATAATGTGTTCATAGATCATAAATTATATAAGCCAGATGTATCGCTGCGATATCTTAATTAATGATCACAAAATTTAATAGCATTTTTTAATTTTGATAATTAAAAAAATTAATAAAATTATATTTCGTTAAAAACCTTTAATAGACTGTAATCTCCACAAATTAGATTCTAACGCATCACCGTCTATTAGTCTAGTCCTCAACCGTTGCACTATATTGAAGTAGAAGAAGAATATTACAGATGTTTTAACCATGTAGTTTATATTATACTGGTCGACTTGTATGTTCGTATTAGAAATGTGCACTCTGTATTTTTGACTCATGTACTGTACGTATTATAATCAACTGAAATTAAGCATATCTTCATCAATCTATACTCACTGACCAATAATAATTAGTTCAATCGATTTTTCGCTTTGATGGTAACTTCTGAAACTATAAATTTTAGATAGCAGAACGAACTAAGTATTACAGAATGTTAGTAAATACGGTGTAATATACCAAAATTGAAAATAGTAGGATGCCTTTTATACTTATACGCATAGAATTATCCCTTGATAGCAATAAGTCTAGTGAAATATTAATTAATCGAATAGAAAATATCGCAGCGCTTTATGATGAAAAGGAATCATGCCTAATACTCACAACTTAACAAAATAAAATTTCACATTGTAATACGAGAGCTCATGGCGAAATATGTCCATAAGGAATAAGTACCAAGTCTATTACTCTGTGAGTGAATTAAAATTTATATTAGTAGACAAAACAAGTCAAGATAACATCAGATCAGGCTAAAATGCAAGTAAATTGAAAAACAGCTTAAATCATTCAACATTAAATACATAAATAGAATTAAGAGATAATACATCAAATGCAGCTACAGTAGGTTAGCAACGGTAGATTAAAAATTAAGAATAAGCATGGTAATATTACAATCATAGCATGGTTAAATATGCTGTCTTTAGAGGCTGAATGATTATTATATTATTTGCCTTAAAGTAATAAAAAATATGGCTTAGAAAATCATCTTATAAAGGAAATATTGATACCCGTATTATTAGTCTCAACGCTGGGCATTGATTCATGTTAAGCTGGTTAATCGAAGCTTAAGCAACGAAAGTGTCTGGTTTATTTGTAACACTAATTCTTTAAAGGATTATATTCGCAATGTTACAGTATAATTTTCGGTTACCAATGCCAATATATTAAAGGAACGAAATTCATAATTGGTAACTTTGCTACCTTCACAGACTTTGAAGTATAAAATTGTTGAACTACTTTAGACTGCTAGCTCATTTTGGTATGATTTGATGCTCTGTTCATTAATTGGCTTTCATTACAGGTTATAATATCTTGGCTAAGATGACTCCAGTTAGGCGAAGCACTGAATACCGGAAAATTAACAATCCATTATATTTAAAAATAGTTATGAGCCCTTTTCATCGATTTTTCCAAAATCTACTGTTTTAGTTAACTATAACTACACAAATATTTTATTACTCTTTAACAAGCATGATCATACAGTGTGATCTGCTTATAATCAATCCCGTGGATTTCAGTCGCCAACTATTAAGCTTAATGAGTTTTTGGCTAGAGATGTAGATTTACTGCCTAACTAGCATTACAATCCTTACCTTTATAATAGATTTAATATTATGAGGCTTTTAGCTGCTAATATTACAGATTTTATCCTTAATTTTCAACTAATTATAAAAATAATTCTATATTGGTGAATATCAACCTTTTGATGTCTGTATTTACTGTACTGAGATCGAAGAAAGGTAAATTTGACATTTCCTTGCGTTAACAGTCAATTATTAGAATAGCTAAAGCATATTATGCACTAACCTACGATTTACGCTTTAATTTTTATCATTAGATTTACGAGTATATTATGTCATGAAGAGACTTCTATGTAGCTAATTCTATTATAAAGAGGAGAATTCTAATAATACGTTTGTGACAAATATTAATTGAGAGATAAATTTCCAGTTACATATATGACCAATGCTAGTTCGATCAGGAGATAAAATCCAAGAAATTGGCATTAAAAGTTGGCTTTATATATAGCTTTGATTTATCTTTACTACAGATTGAATTATAACTTAAAAAAATTTCAAACGGCTTTCTGATTGATTAATAAAATCAAATAAAGACATTAAGTATCGATGAAATTGTCTATTTCCAATAGAAAATAAGAAAATAAACACCATTCCCAAATGATAGTACTCAACTTTACCAAGTGACGACGTTAATCACAAAGATGGCTATAGAAATAATTCCTGGCCATTGTAGGTTATTTATAAAACTAACTAAAAATGCTTTTCCTAATTAACTATATCTCAGTAATCAGATAACCAAGTTGAGGCAATCGAATAAGCAAAATTAATAATAATAACTATAAGTGTAGATACAGACACCGTGAGTAATAATCAAGAAAATGGTAATAAAATTCACTCATAAATAAAACAAGCGATGATCTAACTACAAACGAATTGAAAAGACTTCCCAAATTAAATTAAATATTGATTGGAATGACTGAACCTGTAAGGTAATGTGATGAAAAGAATGGAAAAAAATCATTCTTCGAGAAAGACTTTTAGATAAATCGAGATAGCAAAATCTCTGACCAGAAACTGTATTATTCAATATTGAATAATCGACTACATCGATGAGGAAATGATTTTGGTAAGCATGATGTGACAATCAACAAGAAATGTCAAATTTCTAAAATTAGCTACGGACGTAATGAAAATCGTAGGATATATTACTAAAAATTCTATGGCAAATAAAAATCAAGTTATGGTACTTAAACTTAACAACAGATACTATTAAATAGCTATTTAATACGTGTTGAAAATTTCTTCAAATATACGAATAGAATGAAAGGAAGGATATTATCAAACCAGAGTGCACGACATTGATGTGATGTTAGGCAGAAAAATTTTCTACAATTTTATTTAATATCATACTCACTATTAAGAATAATTATCAGGATACTATTATAGATTTTAGCTGGTGCTATAGATGAAATAGAGTAAGTGTCTAAACCTTTTATCACTTCATGTTGGGGATCGAAGGTATATAAGTTTATTACGAATTAGCAAATAGTATACGGGTGAATTCTTATTTACGTTATCAATCCATTCTTGATTTAAAAAATTATCAATCGCTAATAAAAATTCTTGTTTAAATCAAGAAACTGGTACCTATAATACATTTTGAATAAGCTATTAAGTAAACTAGCCGTAAGAGTTGAGGATTATAATATATAATATACAGGTCATTGATTTCCTGAGTACTGACACTGCATAGAATCCGATTGTTACAGTGTTACACACTGTAATATCGAGATTAGAGCAGAAATATCTACGTTAAGATAATTTTATTGGTTTACCGTTATGTAATTGTAACTTACTTATGGTATATTGTAGATTATCATGAAAATGTTCCATAATAGAACATATTGTAATCTGACTATTTTGCGTTAGTCATTAGATTTCTATGTTCGTAAATACTGCTATCTCCATTAGGTACCAGTACATAAATTAGCTTTTGATTCATTAGAAGATTTCAACTTTAATATTACTAACTAGGATGTCTAACTATTGCAAAAAGAGTATATAAATGCAGTATATCGTATAATAAAGAGAGTTCTTAAGATTAGTGTTTAACGCAAAATACGAGGGGTCCAAGTCTTTGTGTTGTCTGCTAGTATAGGAAAAGTGTTCCTGATAGGGTAGGTATTACTCACTGATATGTGGTTCAGGGAATCGACTTATTGATCGTAAATTACGTTATCTTGTTCCAAAGCTATTTTGTAATAACGATTTAATTGATGCTACCTATCAGTTGCCTTCGTAAAATTTTGATCGATACCATATACATATATTTATTTCTATTACAACGTTGAAATGAATTCTTTATTATTTGTATGTTAGCAAATCAACCAGTTTAATTATCAATTCTTTTCCTATAGGTCAAAACACACTTAAATAGAGAATGCCATATTATGCGATGAGAAATATGGCGTGACGATTATTTGCTGAAAGGAACTATTTATTACAGTATCAAGTCGAATGGAATATTTCTATTGAAATCTAGAGTAAAAAATATTCCATAAATAGATAAGTTGTAATAATATAATTGCAATTAATCTTTATCTTTCTTGATAATATGTACCTATACTATGCATTTTAAAGTTGATTCATATATAGAGAGAGAGAGAACGAGAGAGAATTTAATACATCGAGTGTGATTAACTTGGGAAATATAATTAAGTAAATCAGAGTTAAATTGACAAAATGATTAAATCAATATCCGCTAGAACACGTACCAATCTTTAGAAGTCCATTAAAGATTAGTGAAGAAAATTAAATTAGTCTCCGCTATAATTGTACTGTTACACTATTCATAATCGTAATAATAATAATAATAGATTAACAATAAAATCATTTTTAAGTTGTTTATGCACATGGAAGTCTTTAAATTAACTGAGCCATCGTAAACGTAAATTAATTTTGCCTTTATAAGTCTGTGCGGCTTATTTTTAAGGGTCGAATAAAAATTTTTAATTCCATCCGATATTAGGATAGATATATGACCGAATTGAAGAATCTCATTAAAAAATAATGAGGATTACAGTTAACCCACTCTTTACCACGGGTTCAAACCATGACGGAAACTTATGAGTCTTTCTCGATTCATATCTTTTCCTCTTATTGATGCAAAGGATATGAGGTAGGTGAAATCAAATCGATTAATATATTCATCAATAACTGAATAATAACTAACCAGCATGATCTTTTTAGTCATGCATAGTGGCTATAGGATCTATTTTCTATAGTAAAGAACGTCAACGATATAATAGAGTCAACCAAAAAATCTATTTTATTATCAGACTTATTTATTGTTCAAGTACTTGTAGCCGGATAATCCTATTCTATATACCTATACCATTTCCTTAAGGAATTGCTCCTTCATTCAAATAGTTTAACCACATAAGTGTTATTCGTAAAGGATGATGAAGTTCTTTTCTTCTTAAGAGCTTGACAGCGGAATAATTCCAGAAATCCTTGACGATAGTATTTATTAGAGACGGCATAGATTAATGGATTAAGCATTGAATTAAGTGCCATGAGTATTTTAGTAATACGCCGTGCAGTATGATTGGTCTGCCATTGTGGCTCATATAATGTTACGGTATAAAAAATTTCATTAGGTAACCAACAAACTAAGAAAGTTATTGCGGCTATACAACTCATGATTGTTACTTGCTTGCGAATAGTAATATCACGTTTGCAATAATGAACGTGATTGCCACTACTACTGTTATTTCTTTCACGATGACTTGAGTAAAGTAATCGCCACCCTATATTAGCATAAATAGCAACAATTATTAAACTAGGTATAAAGATACGAATCACTTCCAGTACAGTGACTAAAATTTTCTTATCCTTTCCTTTAAAAAAGTAAGTTCTTACGCAATAAGAACCATTGGGACTAGCAGTTAAATTTAAGGCATTATCCGTTGCTAAGCCAATATTAGCAAACCATATGATTAAAATAACCATCAATGCTCGCTTTTTAGTACAAAACTCTTTATAATAAAACGGTCTAGCAATAGCATACCAACGATCGATACATATAGCTAGTAGTGTCCATACAGAGACAAAACCTAACATAAAGAAAAAGCTATTGGAGGAGACCAAACGACAGAATAACTCAAGTCCAAAATGAGGATATGGAAAAATAGGCTTGGGTATCACAAAACCAGGTAAAATGATCATCAATAGACCTGCCATCATGTCGGCAATAGCCAAATTTAAGAATAGATATTCTGCTGCTTTAGTGGTTGATGATTTCTTCATATATATAACGATACAAAACATGAGATTGCTAATAACTGAGAAGATAGCTATAAGGGCAAAAATGGAAGATATAACATAACTGCCAATACTGAGCTCGTTAATACTACCTTGAGAATTATTATCATTCGATTCGGAATTATTGATTGAATCCATTAAATCCGTTATAGTCTTCAAAATTGAATAACACAGAAGGTAATGAAGCCAATGGATCGAAATATTACTTTTTGTCTATTTAAACTAAAAAATACTTGAAATGATATTTCTTGAGAGGGAAAGACAAATGTGCTAGCTTGAAAAAAGACTCTTTTGAAATTTGTTTATTACTAACACGTCGAACTTCGTTAACCTTCTGTCAAATAAATTGTAAGGGATTTTTTTCAATAATGAGATGCAATTCAATTTTGAGCAATCAATACGATTAATATCGTTCAGTTAGCATATCATTATAGATTTATATAATTTATGAAATTTCAACTGTCTATTTGCTAATTTCTATACTGTATGAATACGTTAGTAAGACATAGTAGCAACAGTAATATATTCTATTGTAGATTAACCGCGTCATAGCTAAATAATGGAAATTTCTTATAGTTAAAGCATTAATCTACTATAAATTACTATTGTTGCATTGATGACTATTATCAAGACTATATGACATAACAACGATGACATCAACAATCATAATTACAATTCTCATTGAAAAAATCAAATAATAGCTTACATAATATTCCATATACGGTGGCTGACCATCATTATATTCAAAGTCTGGACTTTATTACCATTTGGATATTCAATAAATTGGCACCAATTGTGCATTTATTCAATCTATCTACAATACTATGTCGTGAAACTATACATGATAATTGAACTGCATGGAAAATTATTTATTATATTTAATCTCTTTTCTCTTTCTAACTTGTTCCTCATAGACATGTGTTGGTATTCGATAAACAGGAGTTTTAATTTAATTCTACGAGTATTTCTCAATTATTGACCTTGTCATCTATATTGCTTTCAAGGAAATTATCCGTGTAAGAAACCGTTTACACAGTATGAATATATTATAGATATTAAAGGAAAATTTTATTGTTCAATTATGCATCGTCTTCCAACAATTATATTTAAGATTACAAGCGGTACTTAGAGACACGTTATACATAAGATATATGTAAACAAATTATTACTTAAAAAATTGCTTACTCGTAAATAATAGTATTTGTATGCTGATATTTTGCCGGTAATAATTCGTTTTGATTACTACAATCTTTTAATCAAATTTATAGTAATTGTATTACTGAAAATACGATATAGGAAATTGTAAAATTGTAATGTACTTCTGTGATATATACCAATCACGAAATTCCAAATTTTAGAAAAATAAGGGCTTTATTCAATCTTATACAAAGATTAACTACACATAGCTCTACTCTAGCCGAATACTACTACTAAAGACTTCTACAACGAACTAACAGAATAATCTAAAGTTGCATGCTTTTATACTTTTCGTAGCATTCGCAGCTACAATCCGCATAGCAACCTTTTACCTTATTTTACACATAGTTAACTTATTCTTAGTAAGACTATTCTACTGCGGACCATCATTAATCCAATATGGATACGACTACGGTACTTACGTAGACATCATTCACACCAGCCAAAGTACAATGAATTAACCATATCCTAATATATGATTTACAGTTCTATTTTTACCTATAGCCTTATTAGTAACTCAACAGCTTACTGTATATAGTCATCTGTACTCTAACATAGAGTCCATACCACTACAGTCTATAGTTATAGCTACCAGATATCTCTTAGGATAAACATCTACCGTACATTATACTAAACATGGCTAACTGTCCACAATCACAATGCTAAGTTACATTACAACTTCGCTTATTTCAAATATTTGATATAAACAATGCATCCTAACTGAATTCAACAGTCGCACTTAAAATTTAGGGAGGAAATAGTATTGTTGGAAATACGATATAGGAAATTGCAAAATTGCAATGTACTTCGCTTATTTCAAATATTTGACATTAAGTAGCGAAAATAATGTCATTCCAAACTCTAAGTCATACTCTATATTTATGTTAATATATGATATAACTAATGAAACTATTAAACAGTGGCATTACTCTCTCACCGTATATTAGGTTCATTACAGTTGACTAACAGAAACAATTGATTGATAATCTTAATACATTTTTATTAAATTTGCATATTGTCAGACTGGATGACAAATGGTTGTACACTTTATTAGAATTATTATTTACAATCTATACATTTCGTTACCCTAACTTCATCAATCATCTACGCATTCAAAATTGAAGTTATCGATTTCGGCAATAATCCGTATTCTTACTTATGATTAAAATAAATCGATACGAATATCATAATGCGATATCTTAGCCCTTAACTCTTGGCATTATATCGAAATGGAAACGAATCGTAGCCTATGTTTCAAATTAAGGTTCTAGACTATACTGACTCTCTATTTGCATTGAGATAAGGTAAAAATGAAAATTTGCTTGCCGAATTAATTAAATAATTTACACAAGTTAAATGCATCTTCATTAATATGTATTGTCACCAATTTCCATATATTCTCGTCACAAAAATTAATCGGAGAAATTTCTGTGGTCTTCTTTATCTTGATAAACTTATCGAGATCAGTATTCCAAAATAACTATTAACTTCTTACTCAAGTTTTAGGGCAGAAACAAGTATAGACTGTCTCCTTGGCCTAAATGATAAATTATCGAACTCATTTTATTACTTCGTATATTAAGCTTAAATACTATTTCGATGTTCTTCCGCAAGATTATTTGCGCAAACCATGAAGTAACAGTGGAATCATCCGAGGCCGATAATATATTACTTTATTCAAATTTAAATTTCAACTGTTACTCCATAGAGCTAATAAATACATATGTTATATCATAAGCATGCGCTCTAATATCGGTAAAATTGGTATTAATCAATTTCTAAAATTATTTATCAGTCATATAACTTAATGAAAGTTTAACGCAAAAATTAAAATTATGTCTAGTGTAATCTGAACGGCTTATTTTTTATATTTATATACAATCGAGTGTATAAGCTGGTATTTAACCTTGATGACAAGCTATGTCTACTGTAAAACAACCAATGCAATAAATCTAGTTATCCCAGTGATCTAACATAGTTTTCTATCAAGTGATTTTGTGTATATTGACAACAAGCTTAAGAATAACAACATTTAGATGCAAATATGCCAAACGATAAGAAAATTCAGAAGGGAATATCGAAATAAATTAAAAACAGTAGGGCTATCGTTAATATCTATTCACGTAGAACCATTATCGTATGTTAAAGTTACATTTGTAAAATATTAATTACAGGAACAGAAAATATTAGATGATGCTGTCGTGTGAGTAATCATAAAGGAATTTTCGATAAATACAATGTGTAGAATGAATTTTAAGTTGTATTGCAACAGATATGATAAAATATTACTAAGGAAGCGTAGCAGGGTAACTGATCTGTAATGGTTTAAAACCGTTATTATTTATAGATCTGTCAAGATGCGGTTAAATATAGGCTAACTGAAAAGGTAACTTAAAAATTTTCAAAAACAGTTGCGCCAAATAAGAATTTCGGAGGCAATAATCTTGATAATTGATGGCTAGATTAGCAGAGCAAATTAAAATATTCTCAGAAGAAGTATATTGAAATTATACTATGATCAAATATTCAGAGATTAGAGACGAAATGATTGCAACATTGCTTATACTGGACAAAAAATAAGGACAAAAATTTTAAAACAATTCTAGATAAAATAGAGCATGCAAATTGAGAATTTTGCTATTCATTGGAAAATTTAAGATTAATAAATTATAGTAGTGAAAAGCGCTAGCACTAGATAGAATAAAGTAGCTAATGAAATATGGTAGAATGCTGCTATGCTGATTGTAGCTGCGAATGCTACGGAGAGTATAAAAGCGGGAGGCATTAAATTATCTGATTGTTCTTTCTAGAAGTCTTTCAGTAGTTGTATTCGGCTAGAGTAGAGTTGGGCGTAGCTAGTCTTTTGTTATATTTAATACAGTTCTAATTTTCTACAACTTTGGAATTTTAGTGATTGGATTTTATCATAAGCATATTTAATAGCTCATAGCCATAATCTGTAATTAAATACTCTATTGTGTGTTCGAGTACAGATGAACATATGCGGTAGAATGTTCAGCCAATTGTTACAAATCTCCTTTTTAACTAGAAACCGGGTCTTAAACACTATCTTCACTAGTACTCGTGTTCCCAACTAACTTAGGGACCTATCGTAGTTGAACTAACTCTCAGCTACACAAATAAGCTACTAATGAGTAATAGGTTTAAATACTTCACTTTATTTACGTTGATCTTAGTCGTAAAATGTACTAAAGAAAAACGTAAGAATATTCTTAGCAAAAATAGTCAAAAGATCCTGCAAGTGACGAAATGGAACTGAGCAGCTAGGCTAGTGCTCGGTTTTTTATAGTCTTGGCCAACGCCGATGGTGCATTTGTGAATATTCTTGACATAGCGACTTACACTGTACAGTATACATATCCTAGTATACACTTAAGGTGTTATCAATTAACGTTTACTGACTAAGCGTGTTAGCTCCGACACGTCAACAATATTGAACTTTCTGATACCTTGGCAATAACAAGTACTTATTAATAAACATTAATATCTAATAAGCTACTGGAGCAAACAATAATTTAAATGAGATATTTTAATTAACATAGCAATTAATATTTCGGAGCATGGCTCCTTAACACCAATATTTAGACTTAGGGTACAACGAAAATAGTCATAGACTGTAATGAAAGATTCTACAGTATGTTAGAGTACAGATGATCATATACCTTTACATTCAATAAATTTCGATAAACGTTCAATTATACGAAAACAAACAACTACTAACAAATTTAAAGCTTGTTTCTTTCAAAGTAGTCTCCATAGGCCTTTAAACAGGACTGCCATCTTGCTGGCCAGTTTTCGTGTGCTTTGTAATATTCATCCTTACCAACAGATTTAACTTCTTTTGTTGCCTAAGCTTAAATTTCTTCAAATATCTTTCCTTTTAAGCTTTACTTCATTTTCGGAAACAGAAAATAATCTATTAGACTATCTTGGGAAGTACTAAATAACAAGATAAATTGTCTAATAATAATAAATTAAAATTTATCATTTCTTATTGAATACAACAGTATAATAAGTATTGAGTCGCTATTGATGCTAGAGTTAAAAGTATATATGTAACACAAATTTTTAGGATATGGTTAGTTCATCTTATTTTGGTTGGAGGAATAATGTCGACGTCAATACTGTCGCTGTTATCAATTAGATTATATTGTAGTATTCCGCTGTAAAGTGCTGTTACTAATAATCAATATAGACATAGCATAAACACTATAAAAATCGAATTACGTTCTAATTTTTTACAAATTTAGAATTATTTCGATCGATTATATCACAAAAGTTTACTGCATTCAACATTAGCTGTAACTACTTATCTTATGATATCTGAATATAGAATTTTACTGATCTAGCTTTACATCGACTCCATAGATTCTATCTATACTCGTATACTTATAGCCTCTTCAAATGTCAAATATATCTAATATTTACTCTTTCAGGTTACTTTTGCTAATTATAACGTTTAGTAAGTAAAATGCTTATCTTGAATTGAGGAGCACTAATGGAAGTAGGGTACAGTCTTATCAAATTGATATTTTCTATTACATTAATCACTCGAAAGAGAAAAGAAGGCTTGCAATTCTTTATAGAGAGAACCGATGTCATGAACTGAATTTTATTAAATGAAATAAGCGATAAATAGATAGTGTTATCAATAGTCGAAATATTAGAATATTAAAAATCATTATATACGTATAGGAGAAGATCAGATTTTTATCAGTATAGCCTCCTAGCACAAGAAACAACATTACTAATCAAACTCTAGTAAAACAGAATGTAATGGCTATTACCATTATTAAATAAATTAGTAGATTAATCGATAGTACAAATAGTCGTTTAGGGGGAGTATAAAACAAATCTTTTCGATAAATAAACGTATGCCTACACATTTCGTGAAGAATGGAATTAGGCAACTAATTTTTAGCCATTATCCTTTAAATCGATGTATGCTATACTAAATCACTTATCATGGAATGATATTAACTATGCCGCTGTACGATTTGTAATAAGTATTTCGATAGTATTTGAGTTTAATGTAAGAACATTCTCATCATCCACAACTACTGTTCGTAATTTATAAAAGAAAATGCAGCAATAGATCACTGGCATTCGTATTCCATTCCTAGAAACTATCTAATGATGCTCTTACGACCAGTAAATGGTACCGCAGCTATTCAAAGGAAATAAACCTATTCAAGAAAGAGGGCTTTTCAGTGGTACGTACAGTATTATTAATAACGGAAATTGGGATTAGAAAAATAAATTTAAGAATCGATAAAATTGAGCACATGTGTGCAGGTGTAAACTGTCAATTGGAACTGGATGATTAATTTTTAGATGATATATTTGCTAATGATATCTATTCGGACAACTTAATTATTTAATCATAATTAAAATGTTTTCATCTACAACAACAAAACTAGGGTAAAAGGGACCTAATAAGAATTACTTAATAACTTGTATATACTTAAAACTATAGCTTAGATGTTGACTTCCAATTTCGATAAAACTTTATGCGTAGAAGTTTATGTTTCTCTTTAATATATATTCAATATATCTGTGATATATACCAATCACGAAATTCCAAATTTTAGAAAAATAAGGGCTTTATTCAATCTTATACAAAGATTAACTACACAGCTCTACTCTAGCCGAATACTACTTCTAAAGACTTCTTGAACGAACTAACAGAATAATCTAAAGTTGTATGCTTTTGTACTTTCCATAGCATTCGCAGCTACAATCCGCATGGCAACCTTTTACCTTATTTTACACATAGTTAACTTATTCTTAGTAAGACTATTCTACTGCGGACCATCATTAATCCAATATGGATACGACTACGGTACTTACGTAGACATTATTCACACCAGCCAAAGTACAATGAATTAACCATATCCTAATATATATGATTTACAGTTCTATTTTTACCTATAGCCTTATTAGTAACTCAATAGCTTACTGTATATAGTCATCTGTACTCTAACATAGAGTCTCTACCACTACAGTCAATAGTTACAGCTACCAAATATCTCTTAGGATAAATATCTACCGTGCATTATACTACACATGGCTAACTGTCCACAATCACAATACTAAGTTACATTACAATATCGCATAATGAAAAGTTACTATGTAAGTAGTTACATGAAATAGGAAAATTTTTTAACATATTATCATGTTAATTTAAGGTCCCATAGAATGAAAAAGAATACCATTATGCGTACATAGGTGGTTCACTTTATCACATACCGAAATACTTTAATTTTCATATCCGGAATGCATTAAGACTGTAGTTTCATCGTCATTATCATCATTAGTATCACTTAAATTGCTGATACTGGTATGCAGATAGCTTGGACACAAGCCATGATAGCAATTGTATATAGTATCATGTAATTCTTGCTTAAAGTTTTCTTGATCATCATCATTCCACTTTTCATCCCATGTAAGACATTCCATTTGATCAAGATTATCAGGATAATTTCGAGGGTCATTAATTAAAATAGGTAAAATAGGAATGCCACCTGTACTAATGCAATCGTCGATAATACTTTTCACGCAAGGTATAAAATGTTGACATTTCATTTCATTTCCTTCTTCGACTTGATCTTCATGCAGTAAAACTACCATTCGAAAATGTCGAATAAATTTTAAATAAATAGTAGGATGAATATCATAAGGAGCATTGTTGAACATCGTCATGATTTGGCCATCGAAATAGCGCTTTAGCTGCGATACTATCGTTGTTGTAAGATCAACAGCAGGTTGAGTATAACAATGTCTTATAATTAAAATTTTCTCTACAATTTAAAAAAAGAGTGAAAATGAATGAATCAAGGGAAAGTTGGATCGATATTAATTTCCTAGAATTAACATATATCACTTTACAATTATGAAATATTTTATCTAACTATTTGTGAAATACGTCAATGGAATGAGATAGTATAAATTCTTAATATAAGAATATCGATCTATTGCTTCTGTTTCAGATCAATGTTTTCTGCAGCATTAGCGGTATCTGTTACGGTTTACTAGATGATCTTTATTGTAGTTTGAAACTGTTTTATTAACTTTCATAATCTTGAGATTATTTCCAAAATTAGAAATCAGAATTGACAAATCACACAACAATATAACAAACTTACCTTTATCGGTTTTAATTTTTGTTGCCATCATTACTTTCGTAAAATAGGAGAGCTTAGTGCGCCGATCAGGTATAAAGACAACAATCAGGACAACAATCGAAACTAAACCCGTTGAGCTTCCAAAGGTGATAATTAAAATGATCTTTATCGTACCTGAATAACAGACAAGAAGGAGTAATTGGTATCTATATTAAAAGAGAGGCATGAATGAGGCAATAATGATTTAACGTAGGATCCATGTCGGGCTATCAATCGTCTGCCCATACTATTACAACGATTGATTTAGTCAAGCGAAAGTCCTATATAATCGATTTAAAATAACGCTTTCTAGCTACTTGAAAATTTCAATTCTATTTCATGATAACACTAATCTATCGCTAAATATATAAGATTAGCGCTCTCTAGCCAAAACGAACGACAGTTAACTATGGATTTAAGATTATTACTCGAATGGATCGATCAAGTTACTTTTACGGGTAATCAAAATCATGGTGGATCGGTGGCTAAAATATTGAACTTCCTCTCAATAAATTGTTCATTGGCAATTATGATTAAATAGTTCAACGGATGAGATGAACTTACTGTAGCTCGGGATTTAACTTAAGCTGTTCCATCGCTTGGACAGTATTTTATACTGCACAATATTTGTTCGAGAGCATGCCTTAATACGACATATTGCTATATGCAATATTAGTTCTAGCCTGTGATATCTTCAATGTCTTTAAATTACTATTGTAGTTAACTTTAAATTCGACATTACCTGAACGAATTATGTTATAAACTCATTACTACTGGAGTTCAAATAGATAAAGAGACTGTAATCTAAAATTTGATTGACTGTTCTTGGTTGGCTGGTAAAAAGTAATGAATCTAATTAACGCCTGAAATTAGCATTTCCTCACAGTAATGGATTATAAGGATTATCAATAAAGTCAAAACAACGACCGCCATGACTGGCAATAGATGATAAACAATTTCATTAAAGCATGAATGCGATAGTCGTAGGAACTGAAGTTATTCTTAGCATCAAAGTGAATTCGGTGAATAACAATCATAGTGATCATGTTCATGTTCTTACTTGATGATTTAACAGTCCAGCTTTGATGGCCCGGCACAGTTTTACATGGATTAACTGATTGACATGAAATATTTCCAAGATCTTCACCCTCCGTTCGATAGATTGTCAAAGTGCTAACTGTGGTAGTATCATTAATGACCTTTGTCCTTTGAAATCGGAAAGGATAAGGAAGACATTGAGTTTGATTACATTTCGTCCATTGGATTTGAGGCCTTGGATTTCCTCTAGCGAAGCAAGAAAATGTAACAGAAGAATCCTTCTCTTTATCCTTTCGAGCGCTAAGAATTATACCGCTGTTAATACATTCTAGAATAGAAAAGAAGTATTCCCATCGAATTAATACTTGTGCAAGGATAGTCTTACAGTTTAATCAAGTTAGAGCATAGTAAAGTAGCTTAATAGCACCAATCGGTGCAGAAGAGCCAATGATACTGGAGAATAACACAATTATTTGCGATTAGAAGCTGGATTTGTATAGAACTTAGCTATCACCATCAAGTAGTGACTGATAAAGACAAAAATCATCTTGACTAATGGTCATCCAATCTTATTGAACATGTGCATATTCAAAATTGGTTAGGTGAAATTGGGAAATGAAAAGCCCAACATCAAAGTGATCAAGAATCGATTATCATTAAAGTAGATTAAGACGATGATCACAGAAGGCACAAATAAATGATTTCGATACTGTTTTTATCCTCATCAAGTAGTAGCTGAAGTATTGGCTGATAAAGACACAAAATCATCATAAGTTAGGATCATCCATTTCTATTGAGCACGTATTTAAGATTGGAAGGGTGAAATGGAAAATAAAAGCTCAAAAAATCAAAACGCTTACGAATCGAATTTTGACTGAGCTATCAAAATTAGAAGCAAACCTTACCTTGTGCTTGCAAATTGATAGATGCTTTCATTCCTTGAATACACTGACAATGCACGCCATAGTATTCAAATTGGTATTCTCCAAGATCATCCACGGTCACATTTTGAATTCTCAAAGTGATATTGCGCTGACAGCAACCTAGATACGGCTTTGAACTAGAATTAGAGCACGGCCAACTTGAATTAGGGCATGCAAAATTTGAACTAATCTTGGTATTGGTTCCATCGTTGATGATGATATTTTTTCTTTTAAAATAAAAGCTTGCTTGGTAGGTGCAGTCCACTCCACATTGACATCCTTGGTATTGCATGGTAAACGTTATATCGTAAGGTAAACCGAAATATGCCAATTGATGAGGTTGAGCCGGTAATAATAGTTTGCAGACATTATCTTTATTATAAAAAAAGCAAAAGTTGATCTTAGCCAAGCCATGATTCGACTAATCCTTGGTGCTACTTGATAATAAGTCATGCCAAATGTAGGTTAATTTTTAGACAGTAATCTCAATAAGATGAAATAATTGAAACTATTCTATCCGATTTCTATCTTTATTTATGTTAAATTTAAGATAAGTCTATGTACTATCGTGGAATTATGAAAGATATTTTCCCTAAATGTAATAAACTGTAAATAATATCTATCCCGAAATTAACTAGAACCCAATGCAATTATTTTGCGTGATTGGAAGTCTAAATTAAACACTTGGTTCTATTTGATGATGAATCATTTTAAATGTAAGCTAGTCTTTATATATTGATCTCAAAAAGATGAAATAATTAAAGCTCTTCTATCTGATTTCTATCTGTACTTATGCTTTAAAACTAAAACTAGTCTATGTACCATCATAGAAATATTGTCAAAGAAATTTTCATTAAATGCAGAAACAGAAAATAATGGCGATCCTGAAAATTAACTCTAACCCAATCCAATCATGTTACATGATCGAAAGTGCAAATTTAAATACATCATCTAGTTCAAATTAACTTGTTAGAGAAATATTTTTCTATTATAAAAGATAGAGTAATTTTCTGATGTAATTTTTGAAACTAAGAGACAGCCTTCACTGAATGAAATGATTCAATTTATTTCTAACAAATGAATAAAATTCCCATCAATCGTAGTCAATATAAGCATTCTTACCTGAAATTTGACTGGTTGCTGTAGTTAGGCGTCGATTTCACAAATATAAAAAATAATCAAAATCGTTCATTTATTCACATGATTAAATTTAGAAATAAAAACTCTACTGGAGTTATCGCTGGTAGCTATTCCAATAGGAGCGATACGAAAAAATAGAGAGAAAAATAATTCGTCCATTATGGCAATATTACAAAGAACTCAAGTAATTTTTGGTTATACCTATCTTAATTAGCTATTTATTGAGTCATTCTACTCTAGAAATTCAATAGAAATCAGTAATAATAATATTGATATAAATCTCACTCGACTAGATACAGTTCTATACAAAAAATACTGGAAGCAATGCATTTGCTCAAGATTTCACTAATTCCATAACTAGCGATTTTAGCCCTCGTTATAAATTTGTGTATTCTATTTCTTTACTACCATTTCACTTTGGTACAGCCTTTACTATACGAAGTTAAAATATAAGCTAATTGAAAATAATAGCTTAAAGTATTTATATATCCTTTAGATGACTATGATCTATTTACTTCAATCCGTCTTTAGTCGTCTATTTTCTACTACTTAGAAAACTTGAAATGGACTGCATGCTTTACAAGTCGAAATTCAATCACGAACACTTTGTTTTTGGAATACTTTGTTCGTAATGTGACCAAAAGAATGGCAATGATGATATTAAACATTTTTTACATAGAAAATATTTGTAGTAAATCTTCGCTCTTTTAGTCCAGTACAATTTTTGAGTATGATGAAGAGATGCAAAGGTAATAATAAGATCAGTTATCTAGATCGGAATTGTAACCTTTATTTACACTAACTATCAGCCAAATAACTTGTTGTATAAGATTAATTTCTATTTTGATCATTGAGAATTCCGTGATTAGATTTAGATGAGAGCAAGATCTCATAAAATCAGCCTTACCTAATGTAGATACTGATGGTCGTTGAACATTCCAAATTTTACGACTTAATAAACTTTGACATAAATTGACAGATCGGCAGGAGATATTTCCAATTTGGTTCGGATTATTTCGATCGATTTTCAGAGTAGCGACTACGGTGGTTTCATTAATTATCTGGATATTTTGACTTGGGAATAGATGAGAACGACATTGACCATGATGACATTTTGCCCATTGGACTGACGGCCTAGGAATTCCTTTTGCGGTACACTTGATGGTAGTAGATAAATCAGTATCATTACCCATTCGATCTGATTGCACAATACCTAAATTAATGCATTCTATTAGAAAAGAGAAGCATTTGCTCTTCAGTTTGTTCATTTATATGCATGCAATATCTTGAATAGTAGTGATGTAATCAAAACGGTATCTAGTGAAAGATCAGACGAAAGAAATATGAAAAAATGATATATCAGAACCAATTGAAATGTACTTAAATTGTACCCTTTAATTCTAATTAATAAACACTCTCATCTTAGTAATCTCTAACTACTATATACTTATGTCATAAATTACAAATTGCACTCATAGATTTCTATTTTAAAATCGGAAAACTATTTTAAGCCAGCTAAGTTGATGAGATATATGCTAGTTACAATTGAAATACAGTTAAATTGGCTTCTTAAATTGCGACTAATAAATACTGTCATTTTAGTAATCTCTAATTACTATCTATTGGAGTAATAATAAATACTACGCTCACAGATCTCTATTTTTAAATCTGAAACTATTCTAAGCCTACTTAGTCGACGAAATACATGCTGGCTACTTCCTTCCTGAATTCAATTGAAATGGAATTAAAATTGTGCTCTTAGATTGTAATTGATAAATGCTCCTATTTTAGCATTTTCGAACTACTATATACTTGTGCCATTAATTAAAAATTTCATTTATAGATTTCTATTTTTATATCCGAAACTATTTTAAGCCTGCTCACTGGATAAGATTCATGCTAGTTACGTCCTTCCTGAAATCTCCGATTATCTATGATTATTACAAACTTTTACAGCTGATTAAAAACACTTGTATATGTCTTCATTCTGAAAGCCTAAACGGGCTGTCAACAAAAAATAGACAAGAAGCACACTAGCATACGTCTACTTTTATAGGTAACACTACAACATATTTTGTAAACAGTAGTAAGTAAATACCTAGTATCTACTTTTAACACAACTGTCATAAATTGTTATAAAAAATCGGCTAAAGTATCTGATTTCGAATCTCTGCAATTCTTGTCAACTTTAAAGTTGGCAAGAATACATCGCTAGTCTAGTACCTCCACTTTTTATAGGCAAGAAAATTCAGCAGCTGCATTAGCAATTATGCTTATAGACTTCTACCCTAACCGATAAATCAATTATCAACTTGTTTCATGGATGAGAATGTGCTAAACTACTTTAATCCTGGCCATCAAACTTAAAATTTTCTCCAACTTGCAGAAAATGTTAGGCAAGTAATCAAACTTGCGACTTGTAGCCTATCTTTTTTAACACTGTACTATGAAATTTGCCTTTCTAAAGAAAAGGTCAGACTAAAATGGGCATGATCTACAGTAATCAATAGACTGATATAGTTAAAACTATTTCGGTTTAAACAGATTGCACGGTAAGACATTACCCAAACATACACGGTTGCAAAATACTGTATTTTTAATCATCGCCATACAAAATAGTTGTACCTTTAGCTTGTAAATTGACAATCGCTTGCTTATACCATGAGCATCCACACGAATGACCAGCAAATCGGAAATCATATTTCCCTACAGTCTGCTTTGACATCTTTCTAATCCTTAACGTAATATTATACAGGCAGCATCGCGAATATGCTGTTGAGCAGGACAAACCACGACTAACGATTGTGTTATTCTGACTATCGGCTACTTTATTATTTCGTAGGAAGCAAAATAACGCTGGTACCATGCACAGATCATCGCAACTAAATCCACTAAATTTCATGGTAAACGTAAGATCATAGGGAAAACCATAATAAGCGGATTGATGTGGTTGGTAAGGTTGCAGTTGACAATATTCGCCATTATCTGCAAGAAATGATTCATTTAAGATATGTAAAAGAGCGATGAAAATAGAATAGAAATGACCTAAAGATTGTAAAGATATCATATAGAATGACAAGGCTATCATATAGTAGCTATGTTGTATAAGCTAAATCAGTATTGAATTACAGCTAGTGTTGCTATTTCTACTTCAAGATTTGATACCATCAAAGTCTACGATACTTGAAAATTTAAATATACCTGATGGTGATCCATTTAAAGATCTCGTCGATTGTATGGCCGTTGGCAATCTACAGCGGGCTAAGTAGTTCGAAGATAGAATGTTAGTCAGTAGAGATTATAAGATAGAACTTGGTATCCATTCGATATGATGAAGTAAGAAAGAAAGTTACGCTTGCCTGGCAAGTCATTGAATTCCGTTTTGGGAATATGAGCTAGAGCTGTAGATACTTGTCCATTTTGAATTAATATTACTAATATTTGACTAAGTAAATCAACAAATAAAGTAGAAAAAATAACCAAAAAGTCTTATACATTCGAGCATAGCATAACTACAACTATGTTATCAAAGAAGGTATGGAATAGAAGAAAGTCCAGAAAGAATACTAGGATATCGCATGTCTGACAGAGCTTAATTACATCTTGCTAAATAAATAAGAAGAGGGACTCAGAAGACATCAAAGAAAAATCGTAATGACATTGCATACTCGTAGAGGATACGACATGGCTGTTGCTAATTAATTAAATAAAGCAAGTGAAATCGCGAAGGGCTATGAAAAAATTCAAGGAAGCCTGTAAAATTGCTATAAAGTAAATAGCACGAGACCAATTGCGATCTAGTTATTACTGCGTTGAAGTAGACGAGTAAGCATAGGAAATGGGATGAAGTTAAACAAAATTTAAAAGGATTCTAAATCATAATGCAGCATAATTGTGGCAAAATAAATGAATAAAACCTTAAACTTTCAGTTAGCCAATATCATAGATAAAGAAATTAATCAATACAATTGAAAATGATTATTTTACATAATAAAGTTTAGCTCTGACTGCTGTTTTAAGAAACTAATCACCATAAGAAATAGAAAGTTATCAGGACATATTACAGTTTGATATCTCATCCATGATAAAATTTAATCAGGTTAGCTATTTGAATAAACGAATAATCATACGAAATAAGATACAATTAAGCTAAATTATAAATGTTATCCTGTACTTATGCAAGGTAAAGCTTAGTTATGACGGCCATTCAAATAGACAAATAGTCATGAAGTATAAAAAAATCAAGCAAATTAGCAAAGGTTTTAAGATTGTATGAACGAGGGATTTACTAAAATAAGTTAGTTGGTTAAATAGGCATGAATTACCAAAGGAAAGAAAAAACCAAGGCAAGCTTATAATCATTTGCAGGAATAGAGGATAAATTATAATAATGCTTGCATTTTAATAGGATAAGTATACACATAAAATAGGAGAAAATTAAGTAAGATTGTAGTAACATTGTAGCAAGGATGAAGGATGGTAAAGCTACTAATTAGCAAAATGAACTACCATGCAATATGTATGAAATCTGAAAAAATATTTTCAATTCAATCGATTACTGCTATAATCTTACATACATGATGATGGATATCTTAAATATCATATTACTGGTCTTGAACGGTAGAGTCGTCGCCATGAATATTTTGATAAAGGATTCTTCTTTCTCCGCTAATTAAATAATTCTTTAAATTCCTGGTAAAAATTTACTTATTTCAACATTTTTCTGGAAAATGATTAAAGAACTCTACTTAATATGTTATTATTCAATGCCTGTTGGCAATATCAAATTAGCAAAAAGAAAAGACGATTTATTAGTTCACATACGAATAGAAAAACTCTAACATAATTCACATCTCTGTAAGTAGCTGGAATGAACAATAAACATGTCCAAAATTTAATCAATAACAAGCTTACTTCTATAAATCAAAGTTAAATCCTCGAATTCGTACATAAAATGCTAAAACTTTTTAAGTTGTTTTTACATGTGCCACAACTACTCTTGCAACATAAGAAAGCAGCTAAGTACTTATAATAAACTTTACGTTAATCCGCAGAACTACTTCCCTAGCCTACGGTATAGCAACTGGAATCCTTGCGAAGTACTAACTCACTCAACACAATATACGATATAAAACTATCATATAACATAGCCTTAACCTGTATATATGCGTACTTGCAGTTGATTTATTTTTTTATTTTTATCCTAGCGTCATCAGAGATTGCCCTAATTTATATTCTGAGACAAGTAAAAATAAACTATTAGTTATTTTATTTACTTTTCAAATTTTTTTTTAGAAATATTGTTTTAAGGAATACATTTTTTATGTAATGTTACTAGTATCAATACTTACTGTTACTAATTATAGGCTATTACAACTATGTATCACAAAAGTTGCAGCGATAAATATAGATTCATTTACTAAAGGATTAAGGTTAACTATGTACGTATTTTCATAGGGATTTAATTAATAAGATAAATGATTATAATATTAAAAGGTTAAAAAGATACATTATCTCATTTTAGTTAATATAAGCTAATGACATACTTGAATAGCTTGGAAACATGAAATTAGAAAATCTACATAAACTCTTAACTTTAACAATAGAATTAGTCTTTCTTCATTATCTTCAATAACTCTCGCCTCGTAATCTTTTTTATACTTACAGTGATAGTTGATCATCAAAAGCTGTCAAATAAAATAAAACGTAGATTGGCTTATTTTTATGAGGATATTGTGATACCCTGATGATGTAGGCAAGACGAATGAGCTAGATATGCCAAAATAGATTTACCAATTTGAATAGAATACTATACAGCTAGAGAACATCCATTTTCTATGTTTTCTTACTAAATTCCCTACTCTATTTCAAGATTTTAAACTTTTTAAAATTTTAATTGATTTCGAATAACTTACCCTAAAAATCGTTGATTTCTTCATAGGATTGAATAAGATACTAATGCAAGCATCAAGACATAGTGATGTTTATAGCTAAGGAAGATGTGATTTCTGTAAGCCCGTGATTTTCTCCCTAATTTATTATTTTTAAATATGTTTAAATGATTACCGTTCTCACAATTACGAATTCCTTATACGTACTATTAAATAATATTCTTAATATATTATTTATCATAAGCGCAGGTTTCACAATTATATAAATTATATTTCAATTTTTGTAGATTAAAGGAATTTCT